TCTTTATTCCGGGAATCAAAGAAGTTCTCTCGACGAATTTCGTCGGTTTCACCAGCAAATAGGGCACCAGTTTCTGTAGGGCAATCTTTCTGGAAGAAAAATCGTAATACAATAAAAATTAGTAGAAAAAATCTTGGGCCAAGCCGAAGGAATCACTCACGCTAACTTCCGATAGTGAGAACAAATCATGCAGGTCGTTGGTTTTGAAGAATTGGCGCTGCTTCGGATCCTTCAGTACACGATTTGCAAGAAATTGCTTGAAAATTTGCCTAAGAGTACGAAACTTGCGCATTAGCTGTTTAATAATTTGAACTGAAAATAAAAATACCTATGATAGACTTTTTCTTCAATAGTGCCAGCTAACATTAAGCCTGTAAATCGTTACAGCACGCTCTTGACCAATACGCCATGCTCTCTCCTTAGCCTGGGTATCGGTGGAAGGATTCCAGTCAGGATCGAAGATTACCACCTAAAAGCGAAGAGGATTCAGCAAAATAGAACTGCAAATGTAAACAAAAACTTCAGAACGATGTACAGGACATCTACAAGGTATGAAAATGGGAAAAGGAGAATAGAAGCCGAATAATTTCGCGATTTTCGTCCATGTGATGATCAGTGTGAGGTCAAGAAAATCCCCGGCCAAACTACTGAAGATGTCCGGTTTTTTTTGCGAGATGCGGATGCCAACGCCGCGACCAGGTGTTGAAAATGTGATTTGATCGCGGTGCCACGCCGAAATTGAGTCACCACCTGTGTGGTTGCATCCTTGTTGCGGACCACAGTGCACATACCGCGCGCCCAACCCCTCCTGCGGATGTGCGATAGCCGCAACGCAGCGTTTGACGCGCGTAAAACCTAACCCTTCCGCTGCGAGAATTATGAAACTACAAAAAATTTGATCTTGCCCCGCCTAAAAATGTACTACATCATGAGTTCTGTTTAGAAACCCCAACCGGCTTCCAGTAACATAAAGTCTGACTTCGGAGCCTTCTAGGCGCCGCTCTCTGAATTGCTTGGTTTGAGTTCGAGTAAAACATACTTTGTTTGCAGCTGTTAGGTTGATACCAAGTCCAACATCACAATCTTGTCGTTAACAAAAGACGAAAAGATTCGGGTCCTTAAAGTGTAATAAAAAGCAATTTTCAAAATTTTTTGCATAACTAAGATAAAAAAAAATGATAGGCTATTGGCTCTCACCTGGTTGAATTGATCCACTAGGTTCATCCGCCTTCCAATGCTAAGTGCTTCCATCCATGCGAATATAGGTGTACCTGTAGGCTCGGTTTGATATCAAAGGGGGATATCAACAAAATTATAAAGTTACAACTGACTTATCATTTTGCAACTTGTGTTCAATAATGTCCAGCATGTCGCGGCTTTGACTGAATATGACACTTTCTCACAGCACCTGGCAACGAAAAAAAAAGTCTTATGGCTGAGGACACGTCCTCAAGCTCATATTCAATCCTGTTACCCGTCAAACTCGGTATTGATCTTATCCCTGCTTGGCTCAAACAGTGTCGCACAGTTTCGACAACACACGCATTTTACCACTCCTCCGATAGTAACCATAGGCTTTCGTCTTGTCTTCCGTTTCATCAAATTCATCTAAAAATAGAAAGAATACAAGAGTTCTAAACAAACACCAACACTTAGCAGAAACCGTGATCAGTTGGAAGAAAAACTTCCATCGAAAATCGGACTGATTCCGAAAGAGAAAAGTCAAAAATTATCGAGAGTGCCTGGAGAGGGCATAAGCAGATGAGGGATTGTAGCACAAGTGCATCAATGAAACTGCAGACAAACGAGTTTAAAGTATATCAAAGGATAAAAAGTTTATCAGACTCCCCCAGAATACGAGCTCGTCCGTGTGACGATAATACTGCATAGAAGTAGCCGAAATGGCAACTAGAATGAGGATTGGGTGTATTATGACATGTTGGTTCCAGTTCTCCGAAAAAGCCACCCCATCCTCGCATCGACTTTAACAATCGCCGACTAGACCACAGCCCTCTTCATGACGCAAACCACATTATTCAGTCTGGAGCTTCGCCCAATCCCTCTGCTAAATTATATTCGATTTTTACAGACTTTACAAAGATGTGAGAGGTGTGTCTATGATAAGAATCCTTGAACCGAAAATCTATACGACTCTCATAGAACTGCTGTGTGAGCTAAATTATTTGCGCTGAACTTAAAGCGCAAGAGAAATGGAACTACAGAAAAAAGTGGTTTCCCGAACATCACGAAAAGAATATACAGGTAAAGAATTGAAATAAAAAACTTTTTAAATTTGCAAAGGCATCAGAAGTATAAGCATACGTTGAACTTCGTAAAGATACATGTTGAACTTAAAACTAACGATGGCGATTCGGTCCACCATTGACCAGGTCGGGATGATTGCAGAGCTTACGCAGAGTAGTCAAGCCTACAAATGCATCAACTCGTCCTTTGAAAATACCAGCACATTCACGTGAAGTGAGGTAGTCCCGATATAAACGACGCTGGTCATCAGTTATTTCACAGAACAGCACCTAAAATTTCATATTAAGCGAGACTAGAAACGCAAAAAACAACTACCACCACGCTGTTCTTGGGAAGAGTTTGGATTCATTTTACCATACCCATTTCGATTACATTTGAATACGGCAATCATGATAAATTGCGCCGATGAAAAGTGGAAATAGGGATTCTTAGGAGCGTAGATGGCAAAGAAGCGAGCCGCCACAACCCCGAAAATGGGATACGTTATCTTATGACCGGACAAGGTTTGTCCGGACAAGGTGACCGTGACTTCAGTTGGTATGCTAATAGTTAGCGTGCCCTATATGAAATCCATTTCAAAATGAAGATCGAATGAACCACTTCCACATCCCTAGCCGCCGCGAAATTTACTTAATAATCTTTGTACTACCTCTTCGGCACCTTATGAACCATTGGATAGTACGCCAACTGATGCGGAAGCGCCTGCTATGTGCACTTGGACAAATCTTCAATAAACTTAACTGGTATCTCTAGCATACATGAACACCAAACTCCTCGCGATTGCTCCTTTGGAAGTGTTGCACCGCTTCTCCATCACTTCGAAGATATTCACAAGTGACAGTTTCGTTTGGGAGGATTGCTTATGCGGAGCAAAGTGATGTGGTGGCGAAAATAAACACGCGGATGGCCTGATGGTCAAATCTCGGACGAATCTCGCTCAGGCCGGCCAGTACCTCTATCTCTTGGGTAGGTTAATTGATACCAGGTTTGCTTGGGAGTATAAACAATTGGTTTGTACGTCGGCCAAAACAACTTACTATGTCGAGCGATTCGCAAAAGAAAGTAAAATGCGTGATTGGTCTCAGAAAAAACCAACAACCGTAAAAATCGTCAGTTACGCACCCACTAGTCTCCTTGTAATCTAACACTGAAAACGGATAGCTTTTACATTGCATAGATAACTAACCTTTTCATTCTTCTCCGGTAAATCAAGCGTTTTCTGGACATTATTTTTCAAACGGCGAAGTATAAATGGACTGATAGTGTCGCTAAAAATATTCAAATAAGAAACGGTCATTGAAGTTTTTGAAAAATCCGACACAAATCCGAATATCAG